AGTCCTGGAAAACAGAGTTCAAGGAACCCTAACCATGGAAGTCTGAGCTTTTGGCTTCATTCTCCAAGAAGCTGGAGTGAAGATGACCCTGGACCTTTGGAGGTTCCATTGACAATGGAGAGAGGCTACCCTGGGCTTGGGAACTTAGAATGAAACCATCAGATGCTGACCCTCACCCCATGACCATTGGATGCTAGGGATCAGGAACTCACAAGTAAGTAGATGTCTCGTTCCTACCACCTACAAGGCTGGCACCAGAGTGGGTCTACTGTACCAAGTCTCCAGGACATGGAGATGATCTGTGACCTGTGCACATAGAACCTTCAAGGATCCAACCCCTCCACAGACACTGGACTCGAGGAGAAAACATCCCAGTTCCATGGAGGTTCTCTGGGCTGTCACACACCACAGACTCTCGTGTTCACTAAGAAAGTGGCTAAAGGACAAATGCCTTCTGTTGGAATTGTGAGGAAGCGAAACGTGTCTCCACTGCAGTACCTTCTGAGAAACTGTCAAGAATAACATGGCCTTTGGTTGGGGATGGAGCTGTTGGTAGATTGCTTGCCTACTAACAGCTCTGTATTCGATCACCAGCACCATATAAAACCAGACATGCCTATAATCCCAGCATTTGGGAGATGGAGGCAGGAGGATTATAATTTCAAGGTCATTCTTGCTACATAGTGGGTAGCCTAGGCTATAAGATTCTCCACCACGCCGGGAGGTGGTGGCGCACGCCTTTAATCCCAGCACTCGGGAGGCAGAGCCAGGCGGATCTCTGTGAGTTCGAGGCCAGCCTGGGCTACCAAGTGAGTTCCAGGAAAGGCGCAAAGCTACGCAGAGAAACCCTGTCTCGAAAAACCAAAAAAAAAAAAAAAAAAAAAGATTCTCCAAAGAACAAAATGAGAGTAACAGGTCCCGTTGGAATTGGTTCCTTTCCCAATAGATTTGGAGTTTGGGCTCTGGCTTAGGGATTTGCATATGCAAAACATCTGAAACCACAAACACTGCATTTATCTTTATTTTTTTTTGAGGGGGGGTCACACATTTAGTCAAGCACTCTACCACTGAGAGTTTCTCCCACAGCCCTCACTGTACTTCTTGCTGTTGACTCAGCTGCCTCTCTTCTTGCTGGAGCTTGAAGACCTTCCTGACCTTGAAGGGTAATTGAGTTTCTTTTTTTTTTTTTTTTTTTTTTTTTTTTTTTGGTCACAGTGCTTTGTGACTCCCTTGGAGCCATAAGTCCCTGTTTATGGCCACCGTGATCACAATTTCCAATCTAACCTTTGAATTCACGGTTATTAAGACTTGTTCTTCTGCCCTAAATGGTCCAGGAAATTCCAGCACACGTGACTTCCATAGCTGTGGAGACAGCATGTCAGAATCAAGAGCATGAGGGAGTGTGATGGTTGGTTTTTGTCAATTCGACACAGCTAGTTACTTGCTAGGAAGGAAGAAACTGCAGTTGAGAAAACGCTCCCATCAGATTGGCCTGTCGGAAATTAACCATTGATGTGGGAGAGATCAGCCCAATATAGGCAGTGCCATCCCCAGGCAGGTGGTGCTGGTTGTGTAAGAAAGCAAGGCTGAGCAAGCCATGGCGAGAAAGAAAGCCAGTAAGCTGTGTTCCTCGATGCTCTCTGCTTCCAGGTTATTGCCTTGAGTCCCTGATGTTTCCTTCATCGTGGACTGTAAGAGGAAGTAAACTCTTTCCTCCCCAAGTTGCTTTTGATCACATGGTGTTTCTCACACCATTGCAAGCAAACTAGGAAAGGGTGTGAAGTCTTTTCTGATTTTCCAAATAGACAATACAGGTCTTAGTAAGACCCCTGAGTTCTGCCTGGGGACAACTGAAAAGGAAAATATGACAGGCATTTTTAGAGGTTATCTGAGAACGGTAGTTATGGAACCATGATGCCTTCCATTTGGGAGCTGAAAGTGGGAACTACATTTCCTGTGGACTCATAGAACTTACTAGCGTGGTTCTTTTTCACTTAGGTTATTTGTTTCAATCTCAGGAGTCAGCTATTCCATTATATGAGTGGTTTTTCCAAACGTGGTTTCCAGGCCAACAAGATTGCCATGGTTTGAAGAATTTGAGTATAAAACATTCCTTATATGTTCATATTTTAGATACTATTTGCCAGCTGGTGATAATACTGTGGGAAGCTATGGAATCTTTAGGTTCCATAGCTTATAGAAGGTCACTAGAAGTGGGCCTTTAAAGATTACATCCAGCCTGATTCTTGCTTGGTTCCCTGCTTCCTGGTCCATTGCTTTGTGAACAGTCTCTGCTACATGCTACTTTTCTGCCATGGTGACTGAAATCCTCTACTGCAACAACCCAGATAAATCTTTCCTCCCTCTGTGACTACAATGTTTACAGAGACCCCAAAAGCAACTAATATGAGCATTGCTTTGAAATTTTTTAGAAATACAGATTCTCTAGTCACATTCCTCAGGGCTGTTTTCATCATTAGCTGCACCCATAACAACAACAGTTAAAAATTCCTTAACTCTGTGCTATGGACTGAACTACATCTCTCAAATACATATGTTGGAACCCTGTCCCCAAATGTGGTGGTATGTGGAGATGGGGCCTTAGGGAAGCAACTAAGAATTAAATAAAACAGATCCTTCTGATGAGATTAGTCCTCCTAAAAGGTACTAGAGAGTTCTCTCTCCCCTTCCCTATCCAATGTGAAGAAACAGCAAGAAGATGGCCAGCAGTCTATAACCCAGGGAACAAGCCCTCGCCAGAACCCAGCCATGCAAGCATTGTGATCTTAGACTTTCAGTCTTCAGAAATGTGATAGAAATCAATTTCTGTTATCTGCACCATCCAATTTGGGGGAATTGTGGCTCGGTGAAAACAAGCCCTTAGTTCAACCCCCAGCGACACACAGGGACAACAAAACCTCTCCATTTCTGGGATTTGATTATTGCAGCCCAAACTGCCTAAAGCATCCTTTCTGCATCATAGCTGCTTACTGTGTCCCATCCCCTAAACTGACTGGAGGTGGGTCCTTAGGAAGGTCAGTAAGTGGTGAGGGCAGAGCTGGTGTAGAGAGGGTTATAAACCAGAGAGAGGCTACTCACTGCTCCCACAAGAAAGCGCTGAGTCAGCAAGCAGGCTCTCACTACACACAGAATCTGTCTTAGCTTAGACTTCCTGGGCTCCAGAACCATGAGAACTAAAAAAAAAAGATTACTTGCTATTCATGTGTGTGTGTGTGTGTGTGTGTGTGTGTGTGTGTGTGTGTGTGTGTCCGTCCCATGGTGTGTGTACAAAGGTGAGATGACAGCTTTTAGGAAATGGTTCTCTTTTCACCACGGGTTCTGGGGATCAAACTCAGGTTGTCAGACTTACACAGCAAGCGCTTTTACCTACTGAGCCACCTCACACAGCTCTTAGGGTTTTGCTGTTGTTTGTGTGTGTGAGTGTATGCCACGTATGTTCCACTGCCCTTGGATGCCAGAAGAGGATGTTGGATCCCCCAGGGCTGGAGTACAGGTGGTTGTGAGTCATCTAACCTGGGTGCTGACTCTTAACCCCTCAGCACTCTCTCCAGCCAGTCACCTCCCCCTTGATAAATGCTTTGTTGTTTAAAACTACCCAGTATATGGTACTTTGTTGACAGTAGCCTGAACAGACTAGAACATATGTCCTTACATCAACCAGTTTCTAGGGACTGTGGGGCTCCAGATGGCCAGAATGGGTCATATTCCCTTTCTGGCGCTGAGTGATATTGGCTACATTTATAAATTATGGACTGGAAAGTAGAGGAGTGTTTCCTAACTACGGAATTCAACATTCGGTCTTAAGAAAGAAAAGGCATCTACCCTAAATGTCCACCACAAACGTGTGCCTGACTTTGAATCATTTCTCTCTAGCTGAACCTTTCTCTGTGTGTTGTACAAACTGTCCTCAGTCATGTCTCAGCCATGCCTCTACACGGTCGAGCCTCTCACCTCCATCTTCTTGCCACAGAATGAACTTCAGGGTTGACCTCCAGCACTCCGCACCCCCCACAGGAACAGCCAAGCCAATTCTTTCTCCCATCCCCAGGGGTTCTTTTACTCACACAGCTCTCCCTCCAAAGGTTCGAGTCTCTATTCTTCTTCCTCCTCGTCCTCCTTCTCTTCTTCTTTTTGTATTTTTTAACCTTTTTATTTTATATGAATGGGTGTTCTGCTTACATGTGTGCCTGTACACTGATTTTAGGATTCCCTGGAACTGGAGTTACAGACAGTTGTGAGCTGCCATGTGGGTGCTGGGAAATGAATCCAAGTCCTCTGGAAGAGCAACCAGTGCTTTTAATCCCTGAGCCATCTCTCCAACTCCTTAAGTTTTTCTTGAAAGTAGTAGATGATCTGTTCATGAAAGTATTCAAACAAAATCCTCAGAGCCCCATTGGAAGCTTGTGTGAGGAGAGGATTCAAGCATTCGAGTGGAGTTACATATAATATGCATCTCCACACATATCTGTGATTTTTTTTGTTTGTTTGTTTTTCGAGATAAGAGTTTCACTGTGTAGCCTTGGCTAGCCTGGAACTCACTCTATAGACCAGGCTGGCCTCGAACTCAGAGATGTGTTTGCCTCTGCCTCCCGAGTGCTGGGATTAAAGGCGTGCGCCACCGTGCCCGGCTATCTCTCCATATATTCGTACAAAAGGGGGCTTTCATGCAGGGCAGTGTTAACATTGATTTTTCCAAGGAGGAGCACGGAAGGAACCTAGGGCCCCTTTTCGAACGTTAACTTGGTTCCACATACACAAAGCCTACTACTCAGAGCTACCGTCTTTACAGGACAATTAGTTGTGCAGAAGCGTGAAGCATCTCGAAGTGACGGGTGGACCCCGTTATTACTGCGACTCTCAGAAGCAGGGGAGAAACGTGAAGAAAGACCGGGAGCAGCCAGAACGACTAGCCTTCCGTCGCAGCTGCATCCGGCGGGGGGTGGAGGGGTGGAGGGGGGGAGAGGTCTGTGGCCCGCCGACTTCCGGTCCCTCCGCCCAGCAGCCGGGGCTTCCGAGACGTGAGCGCCCGGCGCAAGCAGGGCGGGGCTTGCCGTGCCCCGCCGTGCGCGTGCGCAGGCGACACGCCGAGGGACGAAGCCGAGCCGCTGAACCGCCGCCAGGTCCGCTCCGGCTCCACGCCGCCCGCCGCGCCGCCGCCCGCGTCCTTCTCCTCCTCCTCCTCCGCCAACGCCGCCGTTGCCGCCGCCGCCGCCATGGGAGTGCAGGTGGAGACCATCTCTCCTGGAGACGGTGAGTAGACGCCCGCCGCCCGCTCCCCTGCCGCCACGCGCAGCCGCTCACCTGCCGTCTGTCTCTCCTCAGGGCGCACCTTCCCGAAGCGCGGCCAGACCTGCGTGGTGCACTACACGGGTGAGTCGGGCGGGCCGGGTGGGGCCGGGCGCTGGGGTCGCGGGGGGGCGAGGGAGCGGTGGCTGGAGGTCGGGGCGTGGCGGCCGCGTGGACGGCGGCCGAGGCCTGGGCGGTGGCCGCGCCCCGAGGGACAGGCTGGGCCCGCCGGGCCGAGCCGGGCATCCGGCAGACGCAGTCCTCATCGCCCCTGAGCGGTGCGCGGCCCCCAGATGCTGCGGGGTGCCTACTGCCCAGACGAGGAAACTGAGGCACAGGGCGAGCTCATCGCCTGCCGGAGGTCAAGCGCTTCCGGCCAGGGACCCTTCAGGGGAGATTTGAACCGTTTCCGAGTCCTGGTGGATACCTTCTCCGTGCTTTGGAGGTTTCGTCGTTAAGAAGGGGAGGTGATTCCTGGTCTGCCTAGCCCCCCTTTCCTGGGAGAACCCTTGAATTCATCTTTCTGGGGCGGGTGGGAAACGACCCACTTGCTAAGTCATTCTTGTGGCTTCATGTGCCCTTCAGGAAATAGATAATGCAAGATCTCTCTCTCTCTCTTTGACCCACTTGCAAATCTCAGCCTGGGTAGCAATGATTACCAGACCAAAGGATGCACCATGTCATTCCCAGGCTCCCCTTTCTAGGAATGGAGACTTTTCTCACCCCCCTTTTAATGATAAAGGAAGCTGGGGGGGTCGTGAGTGCAGTACACAGTAACTAAAATCAAAGGAAATTTTAAAGACGTGCACACTCAGCCAAAATTCAAGCTTCCAGACCATGAGGATTGCTGGCCCTGGGACCATCTTTTACTCCATGCCCTTACAAGGTCCTTCTGGGTTGGGGAGGGGGAGGGTAGCTGGCCGTGACTTCATAGCCAGGCTGAGTGGTGTAGCCACAGCTGATAGGAATCGGCCTCCCTCCCTCCCGCTCCTTCCCTTTCCCACCCTTTCCTTTGTCCCCCTCCCCATCCTTCCTCTGTTTCTTCTGCTTCTCCCTCCTCCCCTCCACTGTCACCACCCCCACCTTTTTTTCTGGCTGATCTGGCCAAGCTGTTCAGGCTCAAGTTGCCTTGTCTCCCTGATGAGGGGAGGCTCCCTCTCCTGAGGGAGACGACTTAGTGAGAAGAGGAGAAAAGCAGCTCGCATCCTCCTTTCTCTGCTTGCTTATTTCGGTGACTTCTCGAGTGGAGAGGTGGACGGGAGATGGGAGGGGTTACGGACCAGAACCTTAAAAAGCTGCCAGTGGAAGGAATGTTGAAATCCATCTTTGTGTCATGAACAAAAGTGCAGGGTGGTTTGGACATTCAAGTAGCTGTTGTGATAGCGTGGTACGACCACAGCCTTAGTCTGGGAGGGCTAGTAGAGGAGGAATCATCAGTTTAGTTGTCTTTGATGGCAAGTTGAAAAAGAAGACTGTTGCGCCCTCACGCTCTCTCTTTTAAACATGTGTTTAAGGCAGTGGTTCTCAACCTTCCTAATGCAGTGACCCTTTAATACAGTTCCTCATGTTGTGGTGACCCCCAACCATAAAGTTATTTTGTTGCTACTTCATAACTACTCATAAGAATCGTAATGTGAATATCTGTGTTTTCTGATGGTCTTAGGCAACCCATGTGAAGGATTGTTCAGCCCCCCCAAGGGGTCATGACCCACAGGTTGAGAACCACTGATTTAAGGGGTTGGGGATGTGGGTGAGTGGGCAGTTCCCTGAATTCCCACGGTCTTCTTTACCTTTGGCCTGCAGCAGCCACACTATAGTGCCCGGCTCCACCTGTCTGTGTTCAAGACTGCCCCTCATTCTCGCCCAGCCTATGTTTTACTGCTGCTGAAAACCAGGTACCAGCATGTAGGCAGAAATGATTTGCTGTGTCTCTTGGTGAACTGACTCTGTAGAGTGTCTGGAGCCTCTTCCTAAAAGAACAGATGGCTGTGGGACCCAGAACACCATCGGGGCTCCTAATGCCTCTTCAAGCCTGTGTTCTCCATGAGGGTGGCACCCACCCACATGTTCCCAGAACAACAGCAGGACCCTGGCACGAATTAGAACAAAAGCTTTCTTTTTTATTTCATTTTGATAAGCTCCACAAAGACGCCTTAGTGAGAAGCCAGCTGTGCCTCACACTCACAGAATAGGCTGTTCTCCTGAGGGCGGGTGGCTTTGTTCCCGAGAGTCTTTGCCACCAGCCTCCCAGGAAGAACCTGTTTGAGACCTGTGGGGGCGTGAGAGAAGGGGGTAGAAGAGTAGAAGTGCTGTGAGATCACATCCGTAGCATGAAGGCTTTTAAGTCACTGGGAATAGACTGTATCTTGAAGGAACTGTGATCAGAAGAGGTAACCTTTAAGATTAGAGGAAGAGGATCTTCAAAGACAGGAAGCCCATGGAGTCCCAAGAAGGGAGGAGAAAGCCTGTAGGGTTTTCTCTTGCTGTGGTGGTAGAAGTCTTCATGCCCATGCTTAGTTTTTCTGTCTCCTTCTGAATGTTTGGCTGAGTGACTGAGAGGAAGGATGTGAGTGACTGAGGCATAAGCTGGGGGAATACTTTTGATCATGTGAGTTTTAGCCTGGTGTCCATTTCTGCTGATTTAGAATGGGTCCAAAGAAACAGCAAAGGAAGTAAGGTGACTAAACCCTCCACCGCCCAATCCTGAATGCCAGGGATAAACCCTAGGACCTTGCAGGTAGCCAAACACTTCAACAACTGAGCTGCATCCCTAGCCTGAACCTCAGTGATGTTTTAAATGCCAGTGAGGGCTGACTTAGTGCCACCTTAAGGCTTCCTTGGTGCTTTCTGTGACCTGCCAGAGCACAGCATGAGTGCGGCCTTGAAGGCCTCTATGGTGCCACTGAGGATATTGAGTGATTGCTGAGAGCTGTGATAAGCTTTGACTGAGACGTGAGGGAGGAGATGGGATAATAAGCTACACATTTAAGTCCTTGAAGGCCATGTGGACTTCCATAGCCCCTCCCTCCATGCCTCCCATAGCTGCTTCATGGTTGCTGTGAAGCTTATCTTGGTGCATATCCCTTTTCACTCAGCCATAGCAGGCCACGTGCTTGCCATTGTGAGAGCAGTCTCAAGTGGGTTGAAGGAATTCTTTTTTTATCCTCCTAAAATGTAGCTAGACATCTTGTCCTTGGGATGAGGCTTAAGCTTTCTGTAGCCCCCTGGGGTCTGATGGAGAAGATAGGAGTCTGTTGGCATCACCTCGGGTCTGCCTGGGGCAGTCACAGCTCCCAGGGCAGGTCTGGCCCATTACCTTTCGCTTTTCTTTAGCCTGCTTCCTTCTTCTCTGCTTGTTTTATTCACTCCTCTGCAGCTGTTTTAGTTGGTGATGTCTGGAGGGAAGCTCATATTTAAGAAATCCCTCAGGTGATATTCTTCTAGTGTGTGTGGTCACAAAACAGTCTGGAGCCCTTTGGGCAGAGTTGTGACTAGATGCTTTTTTTTCCCTAGACAAGACCCCCCCTCCCCCTTCTGTAGCAACAAACCAGGCACAGTATATGGCCAGTGAAAGACTTGATCTAGTAGGGTTTAGCTCAAGAGGGGGGACCCATATGATCGTGACGTGTCAGGTAATGAGAGGCACAATGCAGAGTAAACCAAAGAGGGATAGGGAAGGGAGTCTGCTTTTAATGGAGAGAGTTGGAAAAGTCCTAATGAGTGATCTCCCTACCCCCAGCATCACTCACAGCAAGTTTGGTAGTGGGCTCTGTGGCCATCTGGAGGAAGAGTTCTTGTGCAAGGCCAAGGCACTGGAGTGGATTGTGTGAAGGAGTTTAGGCAGTGGGGATTGGAGCACTTGGTGTGTTGCCACAAGAACACTCTTCCTCTGGGTCAAGTGAACATGTTTTGAGCTGACATGGACTTCAACCTTCTCCCTCTGGAGGATATACAGTACCCTGCTTGTATCTCAAGTGTGAGAGTGTTCTAGCCCAGTCCATGGACAGAAGTAATGTCATTAAGCATGCTCCTCAAAGGATAGAGGTCCTTTGTTGTGTTTGTGTTCATCTTTGCAGTCACTGGGCTCTGGGAATGTAAATTGTCCTTTTCTTTTGGCTTCTGTGTGCTATCTATATAGCCAGAGTAGTAGCACCTTGTGAGCAGAGACATGTGGCAGCTGTGGCATTGTTCATACTGTTCTTAGATTTCTTAGTTCCATGTACCTGACAGTGGAGCTTTTGTCCTTTGTGGTGTCAAGAGTAGGAGCAAGGTTAAGCTGTGGTCGTGGCCCCAAAACTTCTTGGAGTGGTCAGACTTGGATATACTCAGGATTGAAGCAGTTGGAAGCCAGGCATGGTAGCTCACACCTTTAATTCCAGCTCTCAGGAGGCAGAGAGCTGGAATTATGAGTTTAAGGCCAGCCTGATCTACCTAGCAAGTTCCAGGCTGACCAAGGCTACATGGTGAAACCCTTCTCAAACACAGAAAGTTGGAAGTGGTTGGGTCCAGCCAGGATGACCTCCTGTTTCACAGGTAGAGAAATAGGTATGCAGAAGAGATGGAGTGGAATGAGTGCCCATCGTCAGCCACCCCCCAGGGTGTGTGCATGAGGAAGCTGTTGGATGGTAGTAGTTGGGGCCACCCCATGTGAGGGTGGTGTAGCTGGCCTGTGCTACCTCAGCTGTGTGGACAGGTTAGAGTTTGCTTCTGTTGCAGATTTCCTTAGCTTGATGAGATGTCGGTACTGTGAAATGGACCCTGCTGTCGAAAGGTTGTTTTCCTCTGGCATTGAGAGTCCTCAGATCAACTACACAAGTCCTGTTTGTTGTCTTCCTTCCACAGATAAGGGCAGCAGAGACTCCTTTGTCTTCCTCAAAGCATGCTTCTCCTATGTGGGTGCCATGGAGAGCCTTTCAAAGAAAGAAAAGTGAAAACAGCCATAATGTGTCCCTGAGTGCTACTGCCTGCATGGTACAGGGGTCCATTTTGTTATATGCACTAACTATATCCACATCAGTAGTTCTGTAACCAGTGGTTAGCTAGACCATCTTTTTTTGTTTGTTTTATTCTAAGATAGGGTCTCA